AAAATTTTAATTGAATTTTGTTTGAAATTATTTGAAGTTCTTATTTTCTAATATATGTATTTAATTGAAAAATTTCCGAGTAATCAAAATTTTTTCAAAAATTATTAAAAATAATTGATTTAGAGAAGAATTTTAGTTAAAAATTTCGTAGAAAATAATAATTGAATTAAAATGATGGAAATACTTTTGAAGAATTAATTAGAGACGTAATGTAACATAATTTTGAAAAAAAATCTTTCTGCCGTGTTACCAGTGTAAAAAATGTTAATTTTAATCAACTTTGCGGTTGATCCATGTCAGCATCATTTTGAACAAGATGAAATTATCAGTTTATGAATTTTTAAAATTTATACCGATCTAAACATGTTTAAAATTAACACCAACTTCAGGGATCTTGCAGATCAATTGGTAATCCGATAGGTGTTCATCCTGATCGAAAGTTTTAGTTGCTATTTAGCAAATAATAAATTTCCAATTATAGAAAAAACTTACGCTAAATATCGCATATATGAGGATAGAATATTTATCGTAAAGATAAATTCATCTAAACACAAACCATTATATTTGATTGTGAAAGAAAATCATGGGGGTAACTTTGATTCACTATAATAAAGCCGCTACAGTCAATTAGTGTAATTAACACGTTTCGCACGAAGAGAGGGGATTTTTTTTTCAAATTACTGAATGTAATAGCTGACATCAGAGATTACGAATTGATTTTCGCCTCGTCCGGCGTGGCATCACGACACAAACCTATTGCTTCGATAACACTTATGACTTTCACTGGTTGAGCTGTTGTACTGTTGTACTGCCGTTTCAGTCAAGTAGAGATATAATCACGTTGACTGCGGAGCGATCGTGATCACGCGAGTCTATAGGGCCCGCAAAAGACAAGAAATATACTGATATGCTTTTCATCAAAGATAATCTCTATAATCATTCCGAGTTAACTTTCTTACTTGGGATCAATCATATTTTATTTTATCTATATATGTTTCCAACTACTGGCGAATTAACTCGAATCGAGAAATTCATTTTCCCATCTTCTGGAAAAATTTTCTCTATTTTCCTGCGGTCAGTCATATAAAATTGGGAAACTGTTTACTGTAGGATAAAAGGTTTCGAGTTTCTCATATTACGTAGAAAATTGTATTTTATTTTACCAGACCGTTTCATTTTCAATTTGAATATTTATTTCAACTTTTTATATCTTTTTTTCAATTAAAAAAGATATTAAATAAAAATATCTAATATTACTTTAACCCATAAAAAATTATAATTATGTAATTATATAATTATATAATTATAATTAATTTTATTATAGATTTTTATGCCTGCAATTTTTTCTACATTTTTTCCGCATATATCGATCAATACTTTCATATATTTATCGATCTTTCGATAAATTTTTATAGATTTATTAAATGATTCAATTTTAAGGATTCTACGATATATTTATGATTCAATATATCGATTGATAATTATTCAATAATATTTTTTTAATACTACAGGATTCCTACAGAAATCCGAATTTAAAATTCCATATACCTTTTCCATGATTTCCAGGTCAAATTTTTACGAAATTCCAGTGGAATTTTAAATCTAATTTCATTATTTTTGGGCTCTTTAAAAACACTTTACTTATTTAATAGTCTCCACCCTTTGGTAAAAATTCTAAAATTATCAAAATTTATCAAAAATTAGAAAAACCGATTTTTTTAAAACTCAACATTTTTTCTTCTCTTTTATGGGATTTAGCTTCATTGTTATGTATTTGAATTTCTATTCAAGAGAAAAAATGGAAAACAGGAAAAATTTAGAAACTTTTAAAAATTCCATACCATTTCCATGATTTCCAGATTCTGTAGGAACCCTGTTACTAATAGTTATTAATAATTAATTCTTTGATTTTCAAAGTCAAAATATTGATTGAAATTGAATTATTCGATACGAGAAAAATAATACATTTTTCTTTATTTGCATTGCATGATTCGTATAAGAAAAAAACGAATAATTTTTTGTACCAGAAAAAGAATCCCGCAGTTAGTTATATGATTTTTTGATGCAAAAAAAATTATAGAGTGTATTAATTCACATATATGGAAGTTTTTTTTAGAGAGAATTTTCTGTAAAAAGAAATTTTCTATAATTATTATATTTGAAAATATGATTTCAAAGTTAATTAATTATATAAAAATAATGTAAGTTCAATTATGGAAGTCGAGAGAAATTTAATATTTGCACGAGTGTTAATTGTTCCTTCGACTTGTAATTTAACATGAATCTATAAATTAAAATTTTATTCAATCAATTTCACTTCATAGAATGCAGTTTTCTTGCAAATTTTTTTTCTAATATTATGCAATTCTCTGTTGTCTGTTTAATTTTTTCAAATGCCTACGTCTATTCATTTTGATTTTCTTTTCTTTTTCTTTACATCTAATCATGCAAAGTAGTTTTTACATTCCTGGCAAAAATAAGATGTTGAATATTTTTTATTTTATAGAATAGAAATATTTTTAGTACAGTAGTTATTGTTTCTATTTAAAAATTAAATTTAACAAAATTAGTCGCAGAGCAAAATAAGTAATTTAAATAACATTTACGAATGTTATAGAGATGCAAATTTAACAATTTGAGATTATTATTATTATTATTATTATTATTATTATTATTATTATTATTATTATTATTATTGTAATTTTTTAGTCTAAGGTTCTGGAGCTGTTTAGAAATAAATAATCGTTCCTCTCTTACGTTTCTCAATTGGAATTTAAAGTTCACCTCGAGATGAATGTAACGATGTATAATGGCCAATACTCGTATTATTCAATTAGTCAAAGTGCCCAATTTGCAAGCAGTCAATTAAGGCGGTCAATGACAGACGCTCGCTCGCTCGCGTGAAAAATGCAATGCGTCAGTCAAATTTTTTCTTGCATTTCAATTTCAATTCAATTACATTGTTTACAATGTGCAAATTATTGAGAATTTTTTTTTTTAATTAATCTTTTCCATTTATTTAAGTGAGTACATCGTTAAAAAAATAGTAATTATGTTCAAATAAATTATTTCCGTTTATTTAGAGGATATAATTAATAAAGAAAAGACATTAATAATCGTATTTTTTTATCTTTTTTTAAATTTTATTACAAAACTGTTTTTGTTTAAAAAAAAATTAATAAGTAATTTGCACTGACAGGAAACAATTATGAAATTTTATAAAAATGTCTTTCAATGTAGGAACAATAGATTAAAAAGCAAAATTTTGTTATCAAAAATTTCAGATTCGTAAAAGTTCATGGAATTCAGTAATTAATTAATTAATTTAATAATTTTATTAAAATCAAGAAAAAATATTTCAAAATTTAATAAAATATTCTAAACTTTATTAAAGTATTGCGTGCACAGAAAGAGAAATTATTTGATTAAAATAATCGATTATTACTTATTGTTTATTATCAAATAAATATTTACTTGAATCAACTACTATGTAATTGACTTAAATAAAAATCGAGATAAAAATTATTTGATGAAATTAAATATTTACTTGATAATAGATAAGTAATTGTTTACTTGAGTCAAATAAATGTTTTTTAATGTGCGGTCAATTTCATACAATGTTTAATAAGGTTTAAAAACTTTTTTATAAGTTATCTTTTTTATCACATTGTCTCTTTTTTAAAATACATTGAAAAAAATTTTATTTTATTTAAATAACCGATTAGTTGACTATTATCAATTAAATATTTACTTGAATCAAATAATATTTATTGGAGTCAATATTAAATGGTATTTGAACCAATAATTTCAGTATTTGAAGCAAATATGAATTGAACCATTATTTAATTGACTCCAATAAATATTTTTTTATTCAATTAAATATTTAATTGATAATAGTCAATTAATTGGTTATTTGAATCAAATACATTTTTCTTTCAGTGTACATTTGTATTTTATAACAATTTCCTTTTAGTGTGGGAAAAAATAATTTATAGAAAAAGGATTTTTTTGAAATCTCGAAAATATTTTTAAATTCGATTTCTTGGGGTCCTAAAGTTGCTGAGTGTCGAAAAAGATTTTTTCCGCGAAATCGAATGAATCGAAAAATTGTTTTAAAGTAGATTTCCGATTGAAACAAAAGCAATAAATATTTTTTTTAACTTCCTAGTGAAAGAAAGAATAAGTGACAATTTTATCTGTAAAAACCCCAATTATAATAGATCTCGATACAGAGCGTCAACGCTAACTTCAGGAACATGATTTCCTAAGTTTTAATTCGCCTTGTTTTAATAATCGTTAGTTTTTATTTATATAATTTTTTTCTTAAATTGAAATTTGTTTTCTTTCTCAAGTTTATTTCATATTATTCATTACTTGTTTGTTTTCGTTTTGTTTAATTGTTTACTGCTAAATAACGAGTTTTTGCATTTTGTTTAATTGTTTATTGCTGAACGAAAGAGCTTTCGCACTTTGTTTAATTGTTTATTCTTACATGACAAAGTTATCAAGTATGTAATTAATAAATAATAAATTAACTTCTTCCTTATTTTTAACTAAAATACTTATTTCATTTTTATGAAGAAATAAATAAATAAATAATTACAAAAAATTAACTGAGATAAAAATTACATGTTGAAATGAAATAGAAAAGAAGAAATGGAATTAATGAACCAAATTGATCTGCAATTAATTGATTATTCTAATCGATTCAATTATAATTATTATAATTCTTTATAATAATTAAGACCCGTTTGCAATAAATGAAATGAAAAAATGTAGATAGTTTTTAATTTTGTTTTGTAATTTAATTAAACAGTTGCACTTATTGATAGTAGGAAGTTCGTAAATTTTTGATACTGTATCATTAAATTATTAGTCTATTTGAAAGTTGATGGAAATATTGTTTGTGATCCGATGTTTATTCCCACGCGATAAGTTTGCCTAATTAGTAAACAAATTCCATAAGCTAGTTATAATAATTGCTCGAATTATCAACTCACGGTGATCTAATCGTCGTCCTCTGTCAGGCACATGAATGTCGCATCTGCCGCCAAATTTGTTTTGGAAAAAAATATAAATAATAGTAGCAAAAAAAAAACACCCCTAAATCCAAAGAGTTGCCCCTCTCTTCTTTTCCCTCTAGAACGAAAAAGAAAATCCAGAAACAGAGAGTATTTTGTCTGTTAATTTTTTTTTTCTGTTGAAAATATCCACTACAGGATTCAGGTCCTGTTGTCTCAGTCACGAACTAGTCCTCGACACTCCCATGACACAACTGGTGATGCACGATGCACCCACTGCACTTGGTACGCTGAACATGCGCTCCCCGAACGGATTTTTTTACGTATATATAAGCTTCGTATTTAATTGGCCGAGTGCCAGTTGGACACTGGGCTTTTTTCGCCTTTTTTTCTTTTCCAGAGTGTTGTCGCGCACGCGTTTTTTTTTTTATTCTACGACGAGAATTGGAAACGCTCCGATCACTGTGGCTTTTGACTGACAACTAAAAACCTCGTGGTAGCGGGACCAACGTGAGACGAAGACGTTTGGGGTCCTGGCGAACCTGCTCTCTTGCTGGCTCCCCCCTCCTCTCCTCGGGGCCCAGCATCTCCCACCACCCCTTTTTTCACCCTTTCGCCCCACTCCCGCCGCGCCGCACCGAGTGCAGCTTTACATTCTTTCGCGCTGTTTCGCGCGCGACCCACGTTGCAAGAAATGTGTATCACCCGGTCTTTGAGGCCACAAAGACTTCACTCCCAATATTGTGGGTGGGACTCAGGAATTTCATTCCGACTTTTTCACTTTAATTGTGTTATTAGAATTTAAAATAACCTTTTAGACAGTATCAGAATTTTTCCTTTTTTTTTTCACTCTAATAATAATTAATTGGGTTACCACGCAACCTGGAAATGTCATTCTCCTAATTTGAATCAGTTAAAAAACATGGTTTTAACTGACAATTAGTGACTGACTTTTTGCTTCTTAATCTGTTAAAAATAACTGATTTTCAGTAAAAAAAAATAACTGAAAAATTAGTTACAACTTAATTAATTGAAAAATTATTAAAATGTTTTTTTTAAATTCTTTGGATTTTATTATTTATGAAAATAATTAAATGTTTTGGTATTACAATCAATAGTAGATATTAAAAGTCATTGAATTCAGGGAAATTTTTGAAAATAATTGAAATTTTGCCAAGAGTTTTAGTTAAATTTTGGAAAATAATTGAATTTCAGAGAAGAATTTTATTATTTATAATGATAATTGAAATTTTGACGAGAATTTTTTGTAATATTTTAACATATGTAATTGAATTTCTGCGAAGAATTTTATTAAAATTTTTGAATATAATTGAATTTCAGAGAAAAATTGTATTATTTACAAAGATAATTGAAATTTTGGCGAAATTTTTTTAATTTTTGAAGAGAATTGAATTTCTATGAAGAATTTTATTACTTCTGAAAATAATTGAATTTCTGCAATTATTTGTTTAAAATTCAATTTTTTTAGTGTTTTTAACTAAAATTCTTTTATAAATCCATTATTTTTAATAATTATTTAAATACAAAAATTTTTACATAATTTCAGAATAATTTGAATTATTATTAAAATTTTATAAAATTTCAAATTAAAATCTTTTAAAGTTGATCTATTCAAATCGATCCACATTTCGATTATTTCTAGATTTTTTTATATATCGCAATCATTTGTTAAAAAATTATAAAATTAAACAATTTTTTTTACTCAATTAAATAAAAAAAAAAATTTTCCGAGATTGAGTATAAAATTTCTTTTTATTTTGAAGAGAAAAAAATCGAGACTGAATGTATATTTACTGGAGGAATTTTCAATCGCGTTGTGTCGTAAGAAATAAATTTTTGATTGAAAATATTACATGAAATGGTTGATAAAATGAAATGTAATAACAGTAGTTGATTTTGATATTATGCACTGCACACGTAGGACGTAGGTTTATATGCGAGAAGAGCCTGAGGCAAACAGATAGTGGAGTGAAGTTAAGTGTGTGTTGTCTGGCCGTGAAGCTACCTCTCGCGCGTCAGGAAGACTTATTACGAAAACATTGATCTGATCGGAAATTGATTTTTCTTATCGGTCAGCAATTCGAAACCCGGAAAACGCGATGATTTATTAAGCTTTTAAAGGTCAGACTTTCTTGTGCATTTTTGCTTACAAGTTTCGCTGAGTTTGCTATACGGAGAAAACGATTCAGAGTAATAATTTCAATATTACCTTTTTTATTTTTTATTCATTTTTTTTTGTCTCTACAGAATTTATACACATTTTTGGTAAAGTCGAGTATCATTTTCCAACAGGGAGAATTTATATTTCCTCTTCTAAACAGAGAAATTTAATATTATTCCTACAGTGTAAATTTACATAATATATTATAAATTAATTTTCAAATGGAAAACATTCGCATAATCATGATTTTTTATAATAACTCCTTTTTAATTAACATGAGTCATTTTCTTCTTTGATTATGAAATCTCGAAAATAAATTTTCTTCTTTTATTAGTAAAATTACAGGGTTGCCTGATAAACAGTTCTGAATCATAGTTTCAAAATTATTACTCAGAAAAATGTTCAATTACTTCTTTTTTAAATAAATATAAAATCATTATTATTTTTCCTTAAGAATTAAGATTTTCAAAAACTTCAAATTCAAACTTTTTTTAAATTAAACAACTTATAATAATTAAAGATGACCGACTGCGAAGAAATTTATAAAAAAATTTGTAAATAATACAATTACAGTGAAATTTCTATTTAATTAATTCATTCAAAATTGAAATTTTACAAGTCTTATACAAGTTGTTGAATTTTAAAAACGTTTGAATTCAATCGATATACCGATTTTTTTCACACTAGTGCGATGACGATCTATTTATCGAATTATCGATCCGTGTCGCGCGTTACGTAAATAAAATAATAATTTATTTTTTTACATACAGATTCGGAAATTGAATAACTTATGGTAAATTGTAAAGCTGCTCGCATGTAATTTGCGTTCGATAGGCAATAAACAAGTACAGGAAAAATGATATTTGGGAAATATTCGTGCAACTAACAATACAGTTTTAGTTTCATTCCTCAATATTTATTCGCCCTAGGCAATTCTCATGTGTATTTTATGTGTATAGAGATAAAACTACTCCCATTATGTTTCATTTTATCCAAAGATTGCACGTAATATTTTAACTAAAGTATATACATACACGTTCGAATTCTTTGGCTTACGACACTTATTCGGAAATAATGCAGCATAACTAAGCAATTTCTTTATTTTATCACTTTCAATAATAATATTTCAAAGCTGTCGTAAAAAATCATATTCTTTTTTTATATCGCCTTATATACTCTATACAAAGAAAGTTCGATACGATTTTAGCGCAAATTAACCAATCCGTTGAAAACAATATGTTTGATATTAATAACAGTGTAAATACAATTGCCTCGAGTTACGTTTATTACCACATTAAGAAAAAAGGAACAATTCTGATTGTTGTAATTAACTTTAATACCTGGAACAAAAATTATTATCAACTATGTAATCTAACACATAATAGATTTTATGAAACATTCAATTTTTCCTACATTTTGGTTTTCTCTTTAGCACTTGATTAAGTTTTGCGAAACGTATTTTTTTCTTTTTTATAAAAAATCCAAAACTCGTCAACAACACTGTTTTTGCAACAAAAAACTTAAAGTCCGCAAAGTTCCTAAAAACGAAAAATTTTTGAAAAAATTATCAATTTGAAATCAAAATAAAATATATCCTCGTTTTTAAAATCGCAGCGGACTTTAGTGACTTCAGCCTCGCATTGAAAAAGAAATCTGAAAAATTATTTTCTCACCAAACGGTAGAATAAATAATAAATATAATCAAATTTAATAAGAAGAAAAAACATCTATAACACTGTTTTCTAAAAATATAAAGTAAATTATTCTAATTTTCGAAAAGAGAATTGGTCCATAATCATATAGATGTGTAATAGTTAATCAGACATAATTCTGGTGTACGTACTGTGAGAAATTCATTTCATAAAAAGAAAAACGTTAATTTCCCCCGAAACAAGTTCAAATAAGAAGAAAAATAATTCTTTTAAAACAATAATTTGTAGAAAGTATTGAATTGCCTATTTAGAAATTGATTTTGTCCACTTTTTTTTCTCTTCGCATCATTATTGAATATTTTTGTTAATGTGAAGAAAAGTAATACTTTCCAACTGTTTACGATCTTATTATTCAGTGTTGATAACTGAAACGCAAACGTTTTTTTACTAAGTGTAGTTAAATTCCCATGGCATTCATTTGCAATAGTGGGAATTCGACAATTTTTAATCTCAATCATTTCTGATAATTTTTTGCTTGAAATATTATTTTCCACTAAAAAATGTCCGTAAAGTCCGTAATTTGATTAAAAAAAGGACGAAAAGTTCGTAAATTGTATATAAAATTTTAACAATTCAAATTATTCTGAAATTAGTTTAATTCTTTGTATTTAATTAATTATTAAAAATAATGGATTAATAGAAGAATTTTAGTTGAAAACACAAAAAAAAATTGAATTTTGAACAAATTATTTCAGATGATTCAATGATTTTCAATATTTACTATTTTAATAAAGTTTTCCAGAATAAATTAAAATATTTAAAACCTTTTTAACAACATTCTACTCAAACATTTAATTATTTACATAAATAATAACATTTCTTACAGGGATTCAAATATTTACAAATTTTAATAAACAATAAAACTCATTGTAAAATTTCAATTTTTAATAAATTTAATTAGAAATTATAGAAATTAGTTAAATTTGTTAATAGGTATAGGTATATTTAATTAGTTATTAAAAATAATTTTTTTGTAGAAGTTAAAAACACTAAAATAAATTAAATTTTGGAGAAGTTAGAAATGTTTGCAAAAATTTAATTATTTTCAAAGGTAATAAAATTCTTCTCAGAAATTCTACTATATTCAAAAATTTAAAAAAAATTTTGGTCAAAATTTCAATTATCTTTTAAAAATAAAAATCTTTTACGAAATTCAATTATTTTCAAAAATTTTAACATTTCTGAAATTTTGATCAATTGCGGTTCTTATTTAATTGTTTGTAATTTGTCTAAAATTCTTGAGTTCAGTTTAATTAGAAAGGCAGTTGACATATTATTGACAGATGTTTTGATTCTTTGAATGCTATAATAGAATTAGACGAATAAGAGATTCAAGGGGAAAAAAGCAGAGAAAAAACTTACGAAATTTAATTTTTTTTTCAATAGTTAATTGAGTGTTGAAACGAAACAAATGTAATTTCGTGACGATAAAAAATGTTGGTGGCACTTATAATATGTTTTGTTTAATCCAGTTATCGAGACACATAATAATAATCGTGTAGTGAATTCCTAAGATCATAACCTTTAAATGGTTCGACTTTCGAAAAGAAATATACATAATAAGAACTCTCGAGACACTTGAATAGCGAAACGAAGCTCAAAAATAATACTTTTCAAATTAATTGCGAATTATTGATGTGATGCATAAATTTCAAAGAATAAGTGTCTTGGTAAAGAGGATTTTAACAAAAAAAAAAAAACATAAGCTATGAGTAGATAATAATCTGCCCACGTGGTTTTTTTTAGTTATAATGTTGTTTTGAAAGAGTCCAATTTAACATGCTTTTGCGCTGATCACTTCTTT